AAAAATGGCTCTATATCTCTTTTAATTTTGCCATCTGAAAACACATCACTTCCAATTTTCTCCGAGAATAATTCTAATGCTTCTTCAGGTGGAAGAGGGTTCACATGGATCACATTACAATCCATTGCACGAGCAACGTCTTTTGACCGTGTCGTGAGCACTAACTTGCAACCATTATTTCCAACTGGATTAGAAATTCCAACATCTTCTAGAGAAAAAGGCTCCCACACATCATCCAGAATTAGCAGGAAGCTGCTCTGCCCCAACCTTTGTGAAATCAATGCAGCAAGCTTGGTTTCATTCTCATGATCTGGCTCTTGTTCTAATTCCAAGCTACTTGCAATCTTTTTCTGAAACTGGAGAATATCAAACTTCTTTTTCTGCTGGACAGTAATGTTAAAGTCTTTTGACACTGTTACCCAAATAATTTTCTTAAATTTGGATTCATTCAACAGTTGGTTGTGGACATTCTTCATAACTGTTGTCTTCCCCACACCACCCATTCCCGAAACTGCAATTCTTGCAACCTTGTCTCCCTTCAACCATTCCAGAATTTTTTCTTGTATTTCATCCCTGCCCCTACATTTTTCAACGACAAGTGGAAATCCTTTGATTGAGTGATCATCTATGACCAAAATCACATCAGCATTAGTGAATTCTTTTCCTTGCTCAAGTATTTGGCTCAATTCTTTAATTTTTTTCCAGAGGTTGGATGGAGAGGAACATTCCCCTTGGCTGATCAGATCTTCAACCTTTATGTCAATCTGTTGGCTTGCTTTCTCCATCCAGCCTTTAACTTCATTGCTTGCCATCTTTCTAGGCTGCCGAAGTGAAGTCTCCAATTTTGCCTCAATGTCTTTCTGTCGGAGCTTCAGCTGCTCTTGCATTTCTTTAAATACAGTTGCACCATGCTCACTTGAGTAAACATCCGTGACCAAACTCTCACCAGCATTAGTAAATTTTTCTCCTTGCTCAAATATTTGCTTCAATTCTTCAATTTTTCTCCTGAGGTTGGATAGGGAGGAGCATCCCCCTTGGTTGATTAGATCTTCAACCTTTATGGGAATTTGTTGGCCTACTTTCTTCAACCAATCTTCAACTTCCATGCTTGCAATCTTTCCAGGCTGCATAAGTTGAGTCTCCAATTTTGCTTGAATGTCTTTCTGTCGGAGCTCCAGCTGCTTTTGCCTTTCTACAAATACAGTTTCCCAATACTCAATTGAGGGAGTATCTACGACCAACTCATCAGCACTAGTGTATTTTTCTCCTTGCTTAAATATTCCTTCAGTCAGTGATTGAGTCCTTTCATCGAGCTTTCTTGAGGAGAAAATATATGTCAAAAAGCCCCCTTTGTAGATTAGATCTTCAATCACTTCTTCTGCAGTTTCTTGGTCTGCTTTCTCTAGCCAAGCTTGAACTTCCTTCTTTGCAATCTTCCCTGGCTTCCTAAGTTGAGCATGCAGTTCTTCTTCAACGTCTTGCCGTCGGCGCTTCAGCTGTTTTTGCTTTTCTTTGAATTCATTGACATAATCATTGTGACGTATCTGATACTTGAAATATTTCTTAGCTATAGGTACAACATCCTTCACAATATTCATGACTGGTTCTATGAAGTC